CGGGTTGGTTTAAGAGTACAGTTCACCAGTGTCATTTTTAAATGCAACTACATTTGTAATCACATGCAGATAATTTTGTAACTAGAAATACATTGTATATAGATATGAAGTGCATTGTACCAAATGATTCATATAAATGTATGTACATAGTAATTAAGGGCACTTAATACAAGCTGGACCCAATTTAAAATAACTCCTTTTTTTTCCCCATTCAAATATATTTTAAAATGTTATTAATTATTGTAACAGCAAAGCTGAATTTTAGCAGCCTTTAGTCCAATCTTCATGATGCACACGATCCTTCGGAAAAAGATCTTATATTTAATGAAATCAACATTCTTTAATTAACTATTATCAATGCTGAAAACAGTTGTCTTTTTTTCCTTTCTTGTTGTTTTTTGTGGAAACCATGTTGTATAGTTTATGGCTCTATGATGAGTTGGGTGGAAAAAAAACAACAACATTATTTTTTTTCTTCTGAAAACTGCAAGAAAAAAAATGTAATTGGGCATCTAAAATATATTAAGTTCAAAATCAAACAAAAAGTGCTCAGGGGTAACTTCATGTGTCTGTGCTCTTTGGGTAAGGGATTCATCAGAATAAACTGCAAAAAATCAGTTCAAGGCACTCGAAAATGTGGAAAAATATTAAAAAGCCATTATTGACATGGCTATTCCTTAAAACTGCTGAAACGCGTAGGCACTGTTTTTTTCTGGGATTTTCCCGTATTTAACCATTCTATCCTGCTATCAAAAATAAAACGAGAGATTCATTCACTGCTCTTCACTTGTTTGATAACAGAGGTATCACTTTAAATGGAGTGTACAGAAGCTGATCTGGGCGTCTGTCAGTCGGTGCTCATGCAAGTTTTCACTGATTTAGAGGTTGCATTTGAAGGGTGATAATCAACGCACAGCTTTAATGGAACGATAGTGAATGCAGACATTTTTATATTAATTTCAACATGCTTTCAAGATTAAAAATATAAGAGAAATATAGGAAAAAACTTAATGATAGGCTGATAATCGGAGAGAATGATAAAATACAAGACAATCCTGGCAAAAATGGGAGGGTTGACATGTATGAAGTGTTTAACGAAAAATACTACTATAAAGAAAAAACTTAAAAATATATATTTTCCTATCACTCCTTTTTTCCTCCATTAATTTTCCCCCCACCATCAAGTCCCTTCCACATCCCTGTAAAGTAGCCATGTCAATAAAGACTTTTAAAATATTTTTTCACATTTTCGAGTGCCTTAAACTGATTTTTGCTGTTTATTAATATGTTTTTTAATATTATTATACTAAAATACATATATATAATAAAATAATAAAGTTATATTAATATAAGTATTTTTCTGCCTTACTTGTAAAAATTATTTAAATACAAAGATAAAAATAATTATATTTTAATTGTAGAATTTTTTTTTGATTGTTGTGCAAGTCATTTATGTCATATCTACAGTAAAGCACATGCCTATTTGCTTTTTCTAGGGACATTTATTTTAGTTGCATTTTAACCCATATTTTGCCTGTCAATTGCTTTTCACTACGAGTTCAAATGTCACATCCATCACACTGGAATTGCCCTTTAACTTGTATGTCTTTACTGTAATGTTTCTTGATACCTGAAAAGTCTCTGCAACCCGATGGAGAAATTCTATTACAAACAGCGGAGGCACTTCCGTTTGGATGACGGAGACGAAGAAGATCTTGTCACGGTATATATTTATGAGATAGTGATGAGGGGTGCGGATGACAGGAGGCACATTGTCCGGTTCCCCTGCCTTCTCTCGTGCTTCGAAGAAATAATCGCAGACGGAGCGGCTTATGACACTCTTCCAGTGTTTCTCCAGGAATAAATCACCAACATTGTTTATCAAGAACAGGCTGTGAATCATGATGAGCGCTGGAAGTCAACAGGACCAAAACAAGACAGTCAGAACAAGAGTCATGAGGCTACCATCAGGTATGAGTAACCATTGTTTGGAAAGAAGATGCCCAGTGTGTTATTTATGACAGATTGTTTAAATTGAATAAAAAAGAGAAAATAAAGCATTTTGAGAAAATAAGGGTCAATTAAGCTGTGACGACTCCTGATTAATAAAGGGACTAAACCAAAAAGAAAATGAATGAATAACCCTTATATTCATATACCATGATAACAATATGTGAATTGGGGCTGCACGATTTTGGTCAAAAACTGATTTTGCAATATTTAGTTTGTCTGCAATATTTATTTCATTATGAATATATGTTCACAAGATCACGTATAACTGCATTTAGAATGACTTCACATTTTTACATTTTATATTGAACAAATACACATTCATTTTATAGTTTTCTGTGGAATCTAACAGTATTGAGGTACACGAAATTGTTTGGTAATATTTAAAATAGCACCGTATATATCTTCATACAATTAATTTTGGTTTATATACCTTGATAACCTCTTGGTTTAGGTTTTTGTAAATCGTACACAGTCACAGGTCTTAAAAACACATCCAAATTAAAATCTTTCACTGTATTTTAGAGTTAAACTTTGCATTGACTGTGATGTTAATAAACTATAATCCCAACTTGACATTGCAGATTCGGCAATGTGACTATAACTGATTCACACACACCGCAATATTGATACTGAAACAATATATTGTGCAGCGCTAATGTGAATCTTCAATCTATCCATTCATTCATCCATCCTTCCAGACTGTATAACACACACAGAATGAGCAATTCCACACAAATGTCAACCTTGCCATGAAAAAAATTTTTCACCAAAATAGCATTTTGTCTTAAGCATCAAGTATTTTACAGTACGTAAAAGAAAACTCAAAATGTCACTGTCAATGTTTTCAAAAAATTATATTTGATTTACCAAAGTCATAAATACAAGTGCCAACTTCACATCTGTCACATTCATAACGAAGAGACGTCACATCCACAAAGCTTTTTTTCCTCATAAATGCACAAAATGTCAAATAAAACAAAATCTCTTATCCTTTTGATAAGCATTATTTATTTTTGGTTGTGCAGTTTAATTGACGGATTTGGTGAAAGTATATTGTATACTGTAACCTTGCTAACCTTTTTGTCACATCCATAACACGTTTATTTTCCTCATTTAAAATCTAAAAAATCTTCACAGATATTGTTCTGCTCACATAACTCTGTGGGTAGTTGTTTTGGAAAATATAAACAGATGTTTCAATATAATGTCAACATATACTTTGTTTTCAATTTATACTGCAAATGTCACATCCATAACGCTGGAATTGCTTATAAAGTAATTAAAAGTGATTAGAAAGGCATGACTAAAACAGAGTTAAGAAAAAGTTAAAGAAAATAGGAGGATGAATATATAATACAGAGAGCTTTCTATTTGTACTATTTCTATTGCTAATATATTTGTTTTTTCTATGTTGGGTTGCAACTGGAAGGGCATCGGCTGTGGAAAACATATGCTGGATAAGTTGGCGGTTCATTCCGCTGTGGCAACCCCAGATACATAAAGGAATTAAGTGGAAAAGAAAATGAATGAATGAATATATTTGTGTATTACAATGGACAACACTGTAAATATATTAATAATAAATTCGATTTTTAAAATATATTTATGAAAATACAGCGTTCCCTGCTTTATCATCTCATAAATATTTGCTTAAAATGAAACACCTACAGTTTGGTCTAAATGCAATTCATAAAACTTGTTTTTATAGACTGAAGTACATTTTAAGTTTGATTTATGTAAAACTTTATCATGACACAAAATAAAAAAAATAAAAAAACAAGTTAATGTGACCCAAACCAGTCATCTTTAAGTAAAAGTAAACTTGTAAACCTAAAAAAATGACACGCATCAAAAGTTATCTACTTTCGCTGTTTGCAAACAAATTTGTAGAATATAATAAAGTTTAAAAGGTTATGGCAGTCAATGTGGTGTGATGGCTAACAAAACTATTAATGCCTAAGACAATATTAAAAACAAAAGTATAAAAGTTGTGTTTCCTGAAAGAAGTAGTGCAGGACAGCCCGTGTTTACCGTTTATGTTTTGAAGTAATCATTTTCAAGCGAACAGACGCAGACAGTCAAAAGCCCGTAAGTACAACACATATCGACACTTACTTTAAACAAAACTTACCTGCAGACAGCTGTCTTGATCAATGTTTTCATGCGATATCCCCCTCTTGCAAATGTGGCAGATGTGTCACTCCTCCTTCCCAGTCGATGCGTCCAAATCTACGCCTGCAGCGAGTTTAATTTAAAGTACTTTAAAAACACAAACAAATGAGCAATGTGGTTTAAGGGTTAGATAAAAGATTTCGTAAAATACTTCTGCAAAGCACGTGTTTAGATTTACTTAATTTATAACAGGAATGTATTTCTCTGTTCTGGCAAAACACAGGGACAGCTATGACACTCTGTAGTGAATTTTCCCTCCACAATTAGATTCCTTTCTAATCGGTTCCTTTGAACAGATCTTTATAGAAAGTGAACAGATTTGCTGGTTCTTCACAGGATCACGTGGCTCGGCATGTTGTTTTTTTAGTTTATTCACTGTATTTCAAATATAAGCGTATTAAAATTAAGGTTTATCGTAATTTCGTGCTTTTTATTGCAGTTTACACACTATATTTAGCATAAACATTTCGAAACATTTCGGCTATTGAATGATTTTATATATATATATATATATATATATATATATATATATATATATATATATATATATATATATATATATATATATATATATATATATATATATTTAACTGTATGCCATGTTGTATTTGTTTTTTTATTGTGATTCACTGAACACATATTTGCTGACTCTGTGAACAGAGAATTGTTTATTCAAAATAATTTTTATCAGTTCATTTTGAAGCTGATAGTCATCAGAAAAGATAAATATTCGTTCGGTAAATTTGTGAGAAGTGCTCGGACCGTTTTAGCTCCACGAACGAATAGTTATGAACAGTTACACGAATCGACTCACTGAAAAGATTCGACTCAAATGAACAGCATCCACCACCCTCACCGCCAGATGCTTCATTCGCTCAACAAGGTGCCAGGAGCGTATTTGATTGAGCACTATCACTGTACAGCATGGCGTCCGATGAACCTAAAGCAAAGAGGATTAAACTCGAGGAAAAAAAGCTCAGGTACAGTAAACACAAGCATCGGTTGAGCATTGTAGATCAACCGAGTCAGAAGTGTGTTGGTGCTTTTATTAAACACAGGGCGGTTTGCTTGCGAGCGCTTTTGGGTCAGAGGTCTTGATGCTTGTCACATAAAGTCCATGTGCTGTCAACTCAGTGATTTTCCTCAAAAGCGTATTGTTGTTGCACCGGAGAGGAATGTATCGGGTATTTTCTCATTACCTCTGACCAATGCCGATGAATGCAGCTCATGCATTTCCTGCAAGGCGTAAATCGCAGACTCGTGATCGAGGCTTTTTTATCATTAGTGAACAATATAAAAAGTTTTACAGTCACTTTAACGTTACTTCCACATGACCGAGTGCATGTATGCTTCATGCTTTTGATCACCCGTTGTCCTTGAGTGATTTATATTGACCACTGGAGTCCGTCCCTCTGGCTCCACGTGTCTTTTGTTGTGCAGTCGAGCACTGCTGCACAAAAAGTCTTCCTGCTGCACGTTATCACAACATTAATGAAAGTGCATGTGTATATTGCATCAAAACATGCATGTATAAGCAAACAAACATGCATAAACACAAACAAGTGTGCGTTTGGTTTATTCTGGGTGCACAATCGTTGGCAGCAAGTTGTATAGGTCACTTTCCTACTGATATTTCTGTCGCAAACCTACTGACACCAAACTTTTCAGATATGCGGTAGCTTTAGCCGTGCTGTCAGGTAGTTAATGACTAGTAAGAATAAATGACAGTCATGTAACGTTAGTGAGACTTAACGTTCGTGATTTATGAACTCCTATCGGCCACAGATAATATCGTTTATACTATAAGTTAATGTTTGTATTTTCATAATGGCTGGCAACTTTTATTGCTACATTTTATCGTTTTTACAATTAGCAGCACATTTTTAGGCAAAAGCGTAAGTTTGGCTAAGCGTAACTCCACCCACTCTCGACCCAGGCCAATCAGTAGTCGATGCTGCTCGCATAGCCAATCAGCGCCGACTTGCGTTTAGTTCAGAGTACTAACATTGCAGACTCAGAGCTGTCTGGCTGATTTTAAACTGCACTGAGCATCACCTCAAGCCTTCCTCATGCCAGCAGCCAGGTAGGAATAAACTGGATACACTTTTTGGGGGGGGGGGGGGGGGGGGGGGGGGGAATTTGACAAGTTTTATAATCTTGTCATTCCAACTTGTACATAAAATAATAATATTTTTCAAATCAAAGAACATGTTTGGTATTTTGTGATTAATGGAAGCTATCAATATGTGATGTTTTGTGTGTGTGTGTGTTTTTTTTTTTTTTGCAGGCTTTATTACTATTATTATTATTATTATTATTATCTTGTTGCTGGGATGTCTGTTTTTAACTTTAAGTTGTATATAAACTGTTTTTCTCTAATTAAGAAATGATTTATTCACTTATTTCTGTCTTCTCCGAACAGCATCCCACTAAACATCTGTTTTAAAGCACTGCAGGCTTCACAAACTCCCACATTGACACATCTGTGCTTATTCTCAAGACTCACATTAGTTACACTAAACAATTGAGCTTCTTTGAGTGTAGGAGTTCACATTTAGAAGAAAATCCTGCTTGCTTTTTGTTGCTGATAGACATTCAATGTCTTGCATTTAATAATATCAAATCTATTATGCAAAGACACTGAATCATCTATCATTATTTATTGAAAAATTAGTAAATTTGTCACATCTGTCAATAATAGATTAGAGGCAGCGTTTTAATCTCCAGCATGCATGTCTCCTCCAGGGTGAATGAACGGTCAGTCACTTAGACACGTGCTTGAATGGCTGGTTTGCTAGATGTGGTGACTGAAGCTTTCTTTAATGTTTTAGTCCCTAGTTTAAAACATTTATGACATGAAGTTTCTACTCTAAAACTATTTTGCTTGGACAAATACTGAGCAATCTAATAGATAAAACATAATCTAGCTTGAAGCTCAGCCATGGATTTGCTTAAAAAGCAGAGCTCGTGTTTTTCAGATTGTGTAATGTGCTGTGGTTTATGCTTGACTGAGACTTTCATATGTATGCTGAATTTCTGTTGAGTAAAATCCCTCAAGACAAAAATGCTTGAGTTGCTGCACATTTTTTGGATTTTTTGGCTAAAAAGCTGAAAATAGTCTGCTTGGTTGAGGAAATGTCCCTGCTATCTTTAGAAGGCGCATCACGCAAGTGAATCACAAAGGCCTTATGTTTTTAGTTGCCTCTTTAGGCCTTATGTTGCTTATGTTTTTAGTGTAATTGCTGACGTCCGTTGTCTGGACTACTCGAATGCTTTCCTAATGCCTTAACTGGACACGCATGTTTCTCTTTTTGCAGTCAAAATGCCCTTTTTGGGATGGGAAACCCCCTGCTTGACATCTGCGCTGTGGTGGACAAAGACTTTCTAGACAAGTAAGTCACGTGTTTCTTTAAAATAAATTTGATTTAAAACTATTTGATGACTAGGTTGGGGACAGCTCTGCGTTTGCTTTTGTAGCAATGTGTTGCGTCAGCATTTGGTGTTGGTTGACGTGTGAACTGAAATCTGTTTTTTTAACATGTCACCCAGTGGCTGATCTTTGGTCAGCACATGGTTGATTTGAAGCAACGCTGGAGGCTCACTTACTTTTGGGTTCATGATGTTCTTTTGCAAAGAAATTAAAATTACTATGTTTATTAGGCCCAGCGTCTTTGCTCTTTAAGAAAGAGTGTGCCACGGATACTCAGCGGGTGAGAGGAGACATGTAAACCTTCTTGTAGAGCTGCCATTCCAGCACTAGTCATAAAACAATGCCCCTCTACCCACTCACCCCCTTTAATATATAACTTCAAACACACTGGCAGTGTCTGACTTGCCATTAGCTTGCCTTATACTATGACCATGAGATGGCACACTTGGAGAGGTCATAATAAACGGATGTTTTCTGCAGTGGGTAACCTGATCCAATCAATCAATTCTATTAAAATGTGCGGGTTAAAGTACTGTTATCTGTTTTTATTAGCGATGCACCTGAGAAGGATATTTTTGCTTATACCGATTGATTAAAAAAAAAAAACTTTCAGCTCATACTGATTTTGATCAATTACATACATACAATGCTAGCTACTTTATTTTTACATTAAATGTAAAATTTTAAGATAGTTAAGAGAAAAATGAAAGCATGACAATCTTCAAATGTGATTTTTTGCTATTTAATATTTCTTTTAAAGCATTAAATCTTTTGACATAATACAATGTATTTCTTTTATAAACTTAACAAATAAAGCCAGTACTGTTGTTGTGTGTTAATGATAGATTTTAATGCCCCAGATTACTAGTTTTAGCCCAAACTAACCAATGGTTTTGTGCCAGTGCTTGAGTGTGGTGCACAACAGTTGTTGTCCTAATGCACATCTGACATTTTGTATATATTAGACTCTGATATTTTGTACAGATCAGATTATATTTAGTTTTTTGCAAGTATTTAATGATTTTGTACTTTGATAAACGTTGCTTTATTCAAAGAAATTCAACTCTTTACCTCCATGTTTTTTTCTTATTGCAGACAGCTTTTAATGAATCCAATATCGGCCGATAAGAATTAGTGGCCGATACATCGGTGCATCCATAGTTTTTATTATGCATATTTGCGTTAATCATATTAAAAGTCTTATTAGCTGGAAATTTTTTATAATCTACTAAGACATGCATTTATAGAGATTCAGTGGTAACACTTTAATAAAAGGTTGTACAATGCATTAACAAACATTGAACAATACATTTATTACAGTATTTGTTCATGTTAGTTAACATTAGTTAATGAAAATACAGTCGTTTGTTGTTAGTTTAACTCACAGTGCATTAACTGTTAGCAAGCATGAATTTGGATGTTAATAATGCATTAATAAATGTTGAACTATGATTTATAAATGCTCTATAACTATCATTTATATTTAAGTCATGTTATTAAATTAACTAATGAAACCTTGTTTTATTAAAGTAAAGTGTGATCTTCACGTATTTAAACAGTCAAACTACTTGTTATCTCCTTGTTGAGTTAACTGCCATCACTATTTCAAGCAAGTTGGGTAATTTTAAAAGTGCAGTTTCAGACTTGTGGTAGACTTTGACTATAATGATTTCCATTTGATTTTATTCTAACTGAAGAGCAGTTTGTTTGTTTGCACGATCTGTTGTTTGCTGGGCACAGTCAAAAGAGATTACAGCGATGCATTAAGAGAGATCAGTAAGCTGTCTATTTAATGATAAAATATTGACCCACCTCTTGGCTCCCCAAGTATAAAAAAAGACTGTTAAGATAATGGAAAGTAGTTTTGGCAACTTGAGAAATTAGTTTGGTTGATGAGAAACTGAAAAATGGCTTGGATTCATGCAACTTGGTGACTTATTATGTTCTCTTTGACAGATTGTTTTCTGGGAACTCAAGGTTTGACTTTTTGGGTTAATTTGTCAGCCTTTTGTTTGAGAGAAAGACATTTGATCAAAATTGAATGAATATAGTTGTTGTTAAGAATATTTCTGTTCTTCATTTTGTTCTATGTTTCCATTATTTAAAATAATGTATTATGTGTCACATGGTTCTTCAGAAATCAGATAATATGCTGTTCTGGGGCTCAAGAAGCTTTTCTTATCAGTGTTGCATATGTGTGCTGCTTAATGTTGTGTACCGTAAACATTAAGCAGCACAAAAATGTGTGATCTATTTTTATAGATTTGTTAAACAAAAAGTTTAAAAAAAGAAAAACTGAATTATATAATATTTAAAACTATTTTGTTGGATTACTGCTGTTTTTACTGCCAATTTTGATCAGTTTAATTTATCATTTCTGTATTATAAAATTCACTTCTTGGGAAAAGAAAAGTTCTTACAAGTCCAGACTTGAACTGTAAAATACGTAAATCTTTCTACTCTTGCTTACATTGGGTAATTAGAGGCACTTTGGGACACGTCATTCCCAGCCACATTAGGTCTCCACCAGGCCTCCAGGAGTTTCGATGAGTCAGTGTCTTGTTCCATAATTCTGTTCAGATGGACAATTTCATATTATTTACATAACAGAGAAGCTGTTGTGGCCATTGTGTTCCATTTTGTTGACTTGAGTGATTGTTTCCTTTTTTTAAATTAACACCAAGTGCATGTTACTCTACATTAAATGACTTCTAATTGACCAAAATTCTGATTTTGGTGGAATCGGGCACAGAGTTCAGTTTTAAAAATGCAAATAAATGGTCTCACTTTTAACAGCATTTTAAGTTGATGAGGCGATTATGGCTCAATGAAAGGAGCTTTATTTTAGGTTAAGCCTAAGGCCTTTACCTATAGCCTTCTTATTGAATTGAGATGTCACATGTGCTTATTTTTCTCTCAGGAGTGGGCGGGTTGTAATATTTGTTTGAAAGTAAATTTAAAGACTTAACTATTTTTTTTTGTGAGCAGTTACAGTAAGGCATGCAGGGACTATGCATTTAACCAAGTATAGAGTCGTGTTTTCCAACCCTGTTCTTGAAGGCACACCAACAGTACACATTTTCAACCTCTCCCTAATCAAACACTTAAATCAACTCATCAGAACATAATAAGAGAATCCAAAACCTAAAATTAATTTCTCAGACATCCAAAATATGTACTATTGGTGTGCCAGGAACAGGGTTGGAAACAGAAAAAGAGCATTGTTTTTGCAAAGTTTACTATTTTTGTTTTGTATAATTTGCTTTAGATTTAAAAGTGTTGATAACCAAACTACAAATTTGTAGGAAAAGGCAGTGCAATAGATATTAATTAATTCAATAAGATAAAAAGAAAAACATTTAAAAGCTCAAATGTTAAAGAGAAAATTTGCCCAAAAATGAACATGTACTTATTATTTAGCTCCTCAAGTGGTTGCAAACCTGTATGACTTTCTTTCTTCTGCTGAACACTAAAAAATATTTTGAAGAAAGCTGGAAACCTGTAAGCATTGACTTCCATAGCGGGAAAAACAAATATTATAGAAGTCAATGGTGACAGGTTTTCAGTTTCTTGAAAATATTTTCTTTTTTGTTAAACAGAAGAAGGAATGTCAAACAGGTTTGGAACAAGTGAAGGTTGAGTAAATAATGACGGAATATTTGTTTTTGGTTAAACCATCTGTTTAAGTGTCCTGCAGGTTTTTTTTAGGAAAGTCAATTTATGGTTATCACTGCACAGTTAAGAAACTTACTAGTATCCAATTAACAGTTTTTAACAGTATTTTATACGGTTATTTTTTCGAGTATAGGTTAAGGGTTGGGAAATAAATCGATTTTATCGATTAACTCGAATATGAGGTTACATCGATTTGTTTGAATGAAAAACAGTTTTCACCCTATATAACGTGACTCTCACCATTGGGCTTCCGTATTTTGCGATAGAAACACACAAACAAACAACATGACAATGAGCAGTGAAGAACTCTGAAATGAAATGAAAAACAACATGGACGCAAAAACATGCCAAAAAACGGCATAATTCTGCAGGCTCTCGGTCACACATTCACATACGAATTTGAAACTGCGCACCACACCTTGTATTTCTCACAGTGAGAAGTAATGGATAAGACAATTAATGGAGAAGATGTGCATTTGAAAGTAACTGATACTGATCTAATGTTGGAATACGGCATTGCTGTTTCCGGATAAATGAAGTGACCCAGCCATAAATACGTTCATTACTGTAAATATCAACACTGAGGAAACTTGCTCTAGACTGATCTACCAGATACAAGGCAGTAAAATGCAACCCATTAGCCTAATGAGAGTCATTTATATGAACTGATATAACTGATATAAAAAAGAATAGAATGCATGTTCATTGAAATATAATCATCTTAAAAAAGGTCCTTTTAATTAATCATTATGAGTTTATTTTCACTGTATTTTTTAAAATGGTGTAATTTATATTATTATAAAACTCTTTTATGCAATTATAATTAGAGCTTCTGAAATTTGATCTTTAAATGACTTTAATCATAAATCTTTTTGTGTGTGTGTGTGTGTGTGTGTGTGTGTGTGTGTGTGTGTGTGTGTGTGTGAGTGTGAGTGTGTGTGTGTGTGTGTGTGTGTGTGTAAAATAAAAAAATCTGATTTTTTAAGCCTATGTCACTCAGCCCTAGTATAGTTAATATTTTGATCTTGAGCCAATAATATCACTCAATGCAAATCAATTCAAAAGTGTCCAAGAAACTAAAACTAGTGTTCTAAAACTAAAACACCTTTTTTCTAAGACATGCTACTGATGATTAAATCGTAACAAACATGCATTTTCTTTGTGTTTCTCACAGGTATGGGCTCAAGCCAAATGACCAGATATTGGCAGAAGATAAACACAAGGAAATGTAAGTGTCTTTTACTGACGTTAACCTGTTTGTTTTTGTCATTAGGCTTCTAGCAAATGGTTAATTTGCAGTCTTAGGCTCTGGTTTGACTTTTTATACACTAAAGGAGTACAAATATCTTTATAATATATGCATATATAAAAAAAATTCTAATGCACACAAAAAAGTGCATGGGAACTATGGAGCCAGATCAGTCCCAAAAATAATACATTTTCAAAATATAATTCATACGTCCACGACTCAATTCACGTTTACAAATTCTAATTTGTAGGTTCAAAACATGGTTTGTAAATACACAAATCCAATTTGTAAATTCAAAACACGATTTGTTAATATGCAAATCTAATTTGTAAATTAAAAACATGATTCGTAAATGCATGAATCAAATTTGTAAATTTACTACACAAATTCTTAATTACACAAATATAATTTGTAAATTCACAACACAATTCATACATGCACAAATTTAAAGGTGCAGTAGGTGATTGTCTTCAGCAGCATTTTTTGTTGTGCTGGCTGACAGTCTGTTCACAGTCTAATAGTAATGATTACAGTAAATGATCTAAATGTGTTTATATGTATTTTTATATTCTGGATAAGGCATAAAGCTAAAAAATGTTGATCCAATTAAATATTGTCGGGCCAACATCTCCCATAATTGCAATAAGTAGCTCAATCTGTGTTTGCATCTCTGTTGCCGCATATCCGTCATTAGTGCGTGCCCGCCTGCATGAGCGTTGCGCACAAGACAGTCACAGTCGCTGCAAAATCAAATGCTGAATTAAAACTTTTTAAACTCCTGAATTAATATTGGAGTTACTTTTGCACACTGGAGGAAGGACGACCCCACGGCTGAAGTATTTCTGTTGGACAGGTGATGTTCTGTTTTAAAACTGTTTTAGCTTCATGCAGAACTGATGTAGATTGGGTTATGAATGGGTTTTATGCACAGACCTGTTGTTCAGCCACTGAAATCTCCCGGTGAAAGATTGATTTGACTATTTTCAGTTTGATAAGGGCCTTTTACAGCATCGATAATGTAGATTTATATTTAGTTTAATAACAAAACATCAGTAAATAGCGCTATTCTAATATAAAAATACATATAAACACATTTAGATCATTTCCTGTAATCATTACTATTAGACTGTGTAGAGACTTTCAGCCAGCACAAAAAAATGCTTCTGAAGACAGTCATCTACTGCACCTTTGACTGAGCTGAAGCTGCTTTTATATTTACATTGGGTCATTTCTGAACAATGACAGCCTGTGACACGCTTCCTATACTGTTTACCATGCTAGTCTGAATATTCGCTCTGAAATAGCATGTAAGTGTGGCTTAGTAATAAGTGAAATTCCTGCACACCACCGGGCCAACCACTATGTATACTTCTAACTGGCGAATGACATAAACTAGTGGGTTGTCTGCTGTCGTGTTGCGGTGGGCGTTTTCACAATTTCGGGAGGCGTGGCTTTGAAACACAGTCCCTTCCTTGCCTTTCGAAGCTAATATGCTAACCGATTAGCATTTTGGCAGATCACCTACTGCACCTTTAATCTGTAAATTTAAAACACGTTTCAAAAATACACAAATCCAATTTGTAAATTCAAAACACAATTCGATAATGTATGAATCAAATTGGTAAATTCAAAACACAATTCTAAAATACACAAATCTAATTTGTAAATGCAAAATACGATTCGTAAATACACAAATCCAATTCGTAAATTAAAAACACAATTCGTTAATGTATGAATCAAATTTGTAAATTTAAAACACGATTCTAAAATACACAAATCTAATTTGTAAATGCAAAATACGATTCGTAAATACACAAATCCAAGTCGTAAATTAAAAATATGATTCGTAAATACATAAATAAAATTCGTAGATTCAAAACACAGTTCTAAAATACTAAAGTCCAATTTGTTAATTCAAAGCAATTCATAATGTACACAAAACCAATTCATTTGGTAAAAATATTTATGAATTCACAAATTGTAGTTGTATTCATAAATTGTGTTTTGAATTTACAAATTAAATTTTGTAATGGTGAATTTTTATGTGCATGCAGGAATTGTACTTTGTAAAAGTATTGTTTATGAGACTGATCTGACTCTGAAACTGCATGACAATCAGTGTTCACAAATCTTATTTAGTTTGAACCACTTTTTAAAAACTATTTAGTGTGTTTAAATTTGTTTACCTTTTTAGTTCAGTGTGATGTGGTTTAATGTCAATTTATATTGTTCAAATTAGGTTTTGTGTTTGGTACTGGGCAGTTCAGATTAATTAGTTCATTAGAGTAGCTCTCATTTTGGCTTCTGGTGTAAATGTCTTCCTTTGTGTAATTCCTTGGTAAAACGTGCATGTGTAAAATGATTTGCTTCACATGCCTGTATGCCAGCAAAGCATTTTCACTTCATTCTCGTTTTAGAGGATGTGGGATCTCCTCGGGAAGGAAGTGTTTGTACTGAATCTCCATTGTAGTTTTTTTTTGCCATCCTGTGTATTGATGTTGCTCTACGTCGATTAGCATCTGATCTAAAAGATTGATCCTCTTTTATGCAGAGATTAGACGGATGTTTAGCGCATTAATAGGATACTGACAACTCTAAATTTTGTTCAGTTGGCTGAATTCATCTGATCCTATTTCTCTTGATCTAATCATGTGTGAGAACTGCTATTTGATAGTGGCAAATTGTACTCTTTGGTCTCAGCAGTGAATCCCATAATGATTAGACCCTCAGAGATAGACCGTGATTCATTGTGTGATAGTGAGAGAGGGGGTGTTTCAGCATAAGGGAAAGCTTGCAGTAGTCATCCTGAGGATCTTGTTGTTATAGTTGCATCATAAAAAGCTGCTTTAGCACAATTCACATAGCATCTGCACACAAATCTGTTTCTTAGTGGCTAGAGTAAGCTTAGAGTGCTCTTACTCAACATTCTGTACAGTCTGCTGCTGCAATTTGGAAATGGGCTTAGGAGTCAACTGAAAATAGAACAGGGATGTATTGTTTACTCCATGTAATTGTGGATAATTTGGTTCATATTTAACTTTGTTTTCTTAGAAACTTTTGCCAAGTTTATACTCCTCCTTAAACATCTTAGTTTGGAAATTGTTGATGTTATGTTGCAAAGTAGAGAATGTAATTGAGGTTTGGCTGTACGCAAAAGTAGAAATACTTTTTATGAATTTTCACAGCTTGCTAGTTATAAATGGAGTTTAAATGGGGTAATAAATTAAATGAGCAAGTGAGTTTGTGATACCTGGAAGACTTTATTGAATACTTGTACAGAAAATAGAAATTTGAGAATTAAAATTTCATTAACTCACCTAAAGCCTAGCTTTCCCTGAGAAAATCAGATCCCAGCAAGTGTATGTAGCAAAGACTTTAGTTATCCCGAAAGGCTGTGTTGTAGTAACTATTTATGAAGTATTTAATGTTATAAAACAAACCTTTTTTCTTGTGAAAGTTTTTTTTTTTGTTTTAAATGTTTAGAAATGTTACAAATGTGTTTTGGAGTGTGCATTTGGGATGGTTCACCCTTAAATGGAAATGCTGTCATCATTTACTCACCCTTCGCTTTTTGTTAAAAACTTAATGGACTTTCTTTCGTCTGTCAAACACAAAAGAAGATCTTTTGAATAATGCTGGTTGCTGCGACCTTATGAACTCCATAGTAATTTTTTTATACTATTGAAAACGATGCGTTCCAGCAACCATCATTCTTTAAAATATCTTCTTTTCTCTTCAACAGAGGAAAGAAAGTCGTATATGTTAAAAAAATGTTTGAGAGAGTAAATTAATTTGACATTTTTGGGTGAGTTATCCCTTTAGCTACAATTAGCAATAGCATTTTATGCTGTAAAAAGTATTGCCTGGCAACCACTCGTTATACCATAGCAACCTCGGAGCAACTACCCAGAGTACCTCATCAATTGCCTAATAACCACCAAAAATACTAGTGGTGTAACGGATTTCAAATCTCACAGTTCGGATCACACTACGATTTTTGAGTTATGGGTTGGACCATTTTTCGGATAAGCAAAAAAGGGAGGAGACATTGTCATTTGCTTTCCATTTATACAAAAATATACCGCAAAAAAAGTTTGGTTTAAACAAACAAAAATTGAAATCTGTAATTTAATAAAAATAAAAATCAAGAAAAAAGCAGCTGAAAAAAAAGAAAATATTTAATACGAAGAATGATCTTTGCTACTGTTTCTGATAATGCTAAATATAGAAATCTATCATCTTGTACAACAGATCTTATTTATTTTCAGTTAATGATTCAACAATTCACACAAACAAACTCATGTTTCATTACAGGTGGATCATTTTTGAAAACATATTCAGTGACATAATTTTGATTGTTGTTTGTCACCATCTGTTGGTTATACAATGTAATTGCTACAGGATTCACCAGCCTCAAGTTCCATTACACAGTCATTTTAATCTTTAACATAAACATCAGTGTTTGTATCAGTGTTTATATCTGTTACATGACTGTTTGAAACTAACTGAAAAAGTGTAAAAACTGAATCTTGATAAAACACTGATTTGTATGCAGCGCTTCGAAGAATTGATAAACGTATGCAAATCATTACCAATAATCATTCATATTGCGCGGGTTTGAATTGAGATCCCATTCTTTTATTGTTAATTGTGCAGCTTTATACTGAATGAGTTAATGCAGGCTAAACAAGCAGTGAGAGAAAACACCTTTAATAATCTAAGAAAGCATTTAGGTATGTCCCACCACAGCTTTTTCCGTTATCATTATATTTTACAAGGAAGCCAAAATGCTTTGAAACATGTGATTTGAATGACGTGGGAGGCAATCTCTCAGCAATTGTTATAAATGTTGGATTAACCTACATGTTCAAAAAGTTATTAATCTGTAGGTCACGTGTATTCTGAACTGTGGGTTGTGACCCATACGGATCATGGATCAACAGTGATCCGTTACAACCCTAAAGAATTTAAAGCAATTA